AGCGGTTCGAGTCCAGCCCGAGCTGAGCAGCCGCTGAGCTGCCAATAGGTAGCAGGATGGCTCAGAAAAAAAAAAAAAAAAAAAAAAAAAAAAGGCAGCCATGGTGACAGGGCCAGGCCTGCACTGGCAATGCAGAGGGTGGACCAGAGTGGAGCAGGCTGAGTGAGAGGGGTGCTCTCGGCCAGCGTTCCCACAAGTGGGGGCTCCTGCAAGCAGCCAGGGCTCAGTTTCCTGCTCAGTAAAACAGGATGATATTCACCTGCTTACTTCACAGGGCGTTTGAGAAAATTCACCAAGACAGAGGATATGAAAGCACTTTGTAAGGATGAACGCCTGTGCTTTGTCACCCACTTTAGTTTTCCAGGTCACCCTTCTGCTTCACTGTGCTGAGCTCCAGTCAATGGCCAGGACTGAGGTGAGGCTGCCTTGGGGGGTTGCTCTGTCCCCCAGGGCGGTCGGGCCCTGCTCTGTGTGCCGTTACACCCTGCACTGGGTCACCATGTATGCTCCGTGATGATCCAGTGTCATTCACTGTCTCCTTGACTGGACGCTGAGCTCCCTGGGGCGGGGGCTGCATCTGCCTTGTCCACTGCTGTTTCCCCAGCCCTCAGCACAGTGCCTGAGACGTGGCATGGGCTCAGGGCAAGAACGGAGAGGTGGTGGGGAGGCTGGCCCAAGCTGAGCTAACCCCCCACCCTCTGCTCCGTTCTTTTGTGCTCCTACTTTCAGTGAATGACTGTCACGCTTTGAGACTGATGCAACCAGCAGCGTGTCCCAGAGGGCCCAATGTGCTCCTGGCATCAGCTAAGTGAAGGCTGCCCACCGGGCGCAGGTATGGGAAGCCCCCCGGCCAGGGCGCTCACCTGTGGCTGAGGTCCTTCTCTCTAGAGACTCCTGACGCTGCTGCTGCTGCTGCTCCATCACTTGTCTGAAAAGCAACAAGAGCAGAGCAGGTCTGACTCCTTGGAGCAGAGAACAACGTGGCTGTGTCCGCGGAGCTCAAGCTGCAGAGTCAGGTTTCGTCAGCACCCCCTTCGGCTGGGGGGCTCAGCACTGAGCCCCCCTCACCCCGTCACTAGGTCTGACTGCACTGGGCTTGCTGTCCCTACCTAACAGAGGCAGGGCACATGACTAGTTCAAGGTCCCCAAACAGGTGAGTCTCAAGCACACCTGAGCAGGGAGCCCATCACAAAGGTTTGGGCGGCCAGCTGGCCGAGTGGCCATGCTTCTCCCTAGGCTGCATGGGTTCCCTGGCTCTGGCGGGCCTGTGGCCTTAGCAGACCTGACCTCAGGTCTTCTGTTCTTACTGCACCTGGCTAAGTTCCCTGGACTGATTTCCGGGCATTGTTGGTTGTCAGGAGAAGTGGACACTAAGGTGGCATGTCCTCATTCTTTTCACCCCAGATTCAGCTGCAGGCCGGCCTCCATGTAGAGGGCCATCTGGCACATTGCACTGCAGTGCTGGTGGCCCTTGGTGGCAACGGACATTCTAGCTCCTCACGGTAGAGTATGCTCGGGGTGCTCGTAAAGATGAGTCGAGTGAGGACATTGACCCACAAATACATCCACAGACTCTGGGATGGAGTTGCTGGAGCAGGAGGGGCTCAAGCACTCATGCAGACTAAGGATGGAGGTGGCCTCACACGTGTGCTGCCAGCTCAAATGCCTGTATGCAGCATGGGGCCAAGGGTTTCCTGACACCCCCAAGGGCCGGGGGGGAGCACGTGGGGGGGGCGTTTCCCTGGCGTCTGGCACCGGGTCTGGCACGCAGCAGCTGCTCAGTAGGTGCTTTGTGAGGGAATAATACACGGATCTCGTCCAGCTGCTTCACCTCAGAGAAGGTCAAATGGGGCACAGTTTACTGCAAAGACCATTTGGAGGAATTGAGCTTTCTGGTTCCCGTTCTGGGATCCCTGGCTTTGTGATCACAGGCAAGCCCTTCCCTTTCCTGGGCCTCAGATTCTTCCCCATAAAATAAGTATAACGCCTGTTTCATGGGGTTCTTCTAAGAATTATGCCTGATACCTAAAAAATAATGGAAAAGACCCTTTGGCATTAAAGATGGTTGCAAAGCTCCCAGAAGCATCTGCATCAGCGTCTCCACTCAAACTGCCGAAACATCACCCAGTCGCCAGCCTCCCCAGCAGGATCCGCCTGCGTAGGAGCCTTCAGCACAATGAGGACGCTGGGAAATAGTTAAATATCAGGTGTGAACTTATGTTACTGTTTGTGTGGAAATGGGAAGGGCCCTGTGCTTGGAGTCACTAGCTCACTGTGTGCCTCCATGTCCGTCCTCTCCCCTGGGCCTCCCTCTGTGTTAAGTGACCAGCAGGGACCAGGGATAATAAGCAAGGTCCCTGCTCTGTGGTTTGACTCCTGCAGTTCACAGGTTGACCTCCAGAGGCGCGCTGGCCTGTGGACAGCTGACTGTGGCCAGTGGCCTCTCACAACTTGGACTCGGGTGGTGGGTAACTGGAATGCAGTGTGGTGTTTAACCAGCTCTGAGAACAACTGAAGGGCGTGTTCAGGACGACAGGCCCCCGCGCAGTCGTTCCTCGGTCTGGCGGGGCTCACTCAGCCCTTCTCTGGGCCGAAGCAGCCCTGGGACCTGGCAGAGGACTGAGCTGGGGCCAGACCAGGCAGCCGGTCCTGGTTACTTTGGGCAAGTCCTTTCCATTCCCTGAGCTTCAGCTGGCTCATGTGAGCCAGGCCGGGTGATAACAAGCCCTGAGGGTTAGCGTAAGGATTAAAATGAGAGAGAGTGTGTAAAAGGCCGCTGTAAGCTGCTGTATTCCTGAGCAGGTAGAAGACAGGCCCGTGGGACCGGTAAGCCCGTGGGAGTTAATACAAAGGGATCTTCTAGGAAGCACGTCCCCATCTTTCCCTCACTGAGATAAGCAGAGCAAGGATTAACACTGCCATCTTCAAACGGGAAACTGAGGCCTAGTGGCCTGCCCAAGGAGATCATCGGCTCCTCAGGGAGAGGGAGAGGCTGGAGAAAAGAACGCCCTGAGGGGGCATCGCAGCCAGGTGAGCGGGGACGTCACCTCCTACCCCCTGCCCGGGCCCCTGGGTGAGCATGGCCAGGACCAGGACTACTTCCACGCACAGCTCCCACAGAGCTGGACGCAAAGCCTCCCAGCGAGGCAGAGCCCTGCCGGGCGATGGCAGCCTAGGTTCAAGTCCTGGCCCCGCCTGTCCCGGCAACACGACCTGGGAAGGCGGCTCCCTCCTTGGCCATCACCACCTCTTGTGTAACTCCAGGACAACAGCACTGGCCCTTCCTCCCAGTTCTAACACTGTAGAAGCTGCTCCGAGGGGTGGCTGTCATCCGAGGGCCCACGTCCCACAGGAGCCGCCTCCTCCACAGGCTGGCCCAGAGAGGATGTCCATGCAGCCCTGGCTCACACAGTGCTTAGGCCTTCGCCGCTTTCACCTCACTGCAGGTGAGTGGGCAGGGGGCTGAGACCCTCCAGAAAGGCTGTGGCACCCGCCCAAGGTCCCCAGCGAGAGTGGCAGGACCAGGGCTCACGAGGCCTTCAGACAGAGTGAGAGGAGGGCAGTCCAGGACAGGGACAGGGCCAGGGCCTCGGTCAGACAGACCTGGGCGGGGCACGTCAGCCATCTCCAGTAACGCGGCCATGGCCCCAGCACTGAATCCCTCCGTCATGACAGCTACCGAGTAACACACCCGGAGGGCTGAGTTAACTATGAGTGCACAGCACCCAGGACACCGCTAGGCTCATCACAAGGGCCACGCGCCTGGATGTCGGCAGGGCTCACCGTCTGTGAAACCAGGCTCTACCATCACTCTGGCTAAGCAGCAATGCACCTGCCCCCTTCCCTTCTGGCCAGGCCTGTGCCCCGCCCCAGTGCGTGTCTCTGGGAGTCTTGGCCCTAGCTGCTGGTGTGACCTCCGCTTGCTGAAGGGTGCCCCTGGCCACTGGGCTGGCCCCTGCTGGGTGGGGGGTTACCTTCTCTGGATGTCCATCTCATCAGGAGAGGGGCCATTCTGCACCTGGCGCTGGGTGGAGGGGCCTGTGGGGTAGAGAAGCACAAAAGGAGGGTGGTTAGTAGAGAAGATGGGCCCCAACAAACACACCTGGAGGCAAGGACCTGTGTCTGCCCCCACAGGAGATGTCCTTGACCTTTCAACAGCTGGTTCGCATACCTGGGTAACGCCTGGTCCCCATCTCGTCCCCTCTCCCCGTCTCCTGACTCTCCCCTCGGAGCTAATAAACGGGGTCACACTATCACACGGTTCAAAATCATCCCTTCCAGCTCCTGACCCCTCTTCCTCCCTCTCAATACACTTGCTGTTTCCACTTCCTTTCTTGCCACTGTCCCCTCAACCCTCTAACAGCTGGCTCTGGCCTCTCCATGTCCCACGAAGCTGTAACTGAAATCACCGGGGACTTGGCATTACCAAACCCAGTAGATCCGTTTTATTCCATCTTTCGGGCAAAGGAATGACCCTTCCAGCTGGTAAGTGTCAGAGACAGAGTTCAGCTCCTGGTCTGTCTGAGCCACAGCCTGTGTCCTTCGCTGCGCTGTGACACCCTCCTGCCTGTATCCAGGAGCCGGCAGCGGCAGAGATGGCAGAGGCTGCCTGTCACCAGCGGAGCCACGGCGGATCAGGTGAGGCCTGCCAGGAGCACCTGCGTCCACACGGGGCTGGTGCTGTGCTACATTCACAAGAGAAGCCAGGCTTCTGCCAAGCCGAGAAAGAGCTCCTTGTTCCTTCTCTCTGCCAGCTCAGGTGTCGTTGGGGAACTGCAGCGAGTCACAGTGATGGGGCAGGAACTCTGGGCAAGCTGGTCTCATGCCTCGCTGACTAGATGGGGCAGGGGTTTTGTCTCCTCCCTGAGATGAGGTGACAGAGACACTCAGCCTACAACAAAACCCATGACGCGCAGATGGCCTCTCCCACAGGTGCTCCAGGCCGCTGAGGGATGAGCGGGCCGTGCCCCGTATCTGGGGCGCGGCAGGATGGAGTGACAGCGTCTCAAAGCTGAAACTGACCATCTGATTCCAGGACACGCTCCTGCCCAGCACAGGAGCCCTGTGGGCCTCCCGGCAGGAACACCCAGCGTAGTCCCAGCCATGGAAGCCAATACCCCAAATGAGCAGTGCTGTCTTACACTGAGGCCCCAAATCTACCCCCACCCACAGAGGCTGAAGTGCCTCCACTGGGGCGACACAACATGGCTCAAATGCTTTTCTATGCTTGGCAGCCCTTCTCGTGCCCGAAGTCGGCGGCCATGTTCCGCGGTTTCAGACTCCGCTGTCCTGGGCCCTGTATGTCTGCCTCGGTCAGGTCCTCAGTGAGCCGTGCTGGGCTGCTGCTTGGCTGCCCGTGGAGGCTTCAGCTGGGGAAAGCGGAGGATCCAGGTGGCGGGCAGGGGCCCAGCTGCTGGTGGGAGGAGGACGGGGCCTCCCAGCACTCAAGGAACCCTTCCCTGGTGGCCTGCCTGTCCCGGTCCTTCCTGCTCACTGCCTTCTGCTGCTCTGGGGACAGGCAGGAGGAGATGCCTGAGGACTTCTTCTACCGAGACTAACGTAAATGTCTGGCGTGGCAGCCTGGCACGTGGTAGGTATGGAATGTATGTTAGTTTCCGTTCCCTGTCTCTAAATACATTTGGTTTTGCTTTATTTATTTAAAATATAATTATGTGCCTTAAAGAAATTTTTTTTCTGACTATAAATCATGTGTAATAGGTGTTCAGTCTAACAGACATCAGAAAATCTTAAAAGTTTAATAAAGAATATAAACATTTCCAATAGAAAAAAAAATCCCTGATGGGGCAAACTCTTTTCTCTCCTACCTCGCCAGGGTCTTGGGGGTGCCTCTCCCGTCCGTGCCCCCCTCCCCGTTCTCAGGAAACCAGAGCAAAGACACGAGAATATCGCTTTTACAGTGGTGTCTAGGCACTCTTCTTACTTTACTTTAATTCTCACAACCCTACAGGACAGCGCCCATGGAGGACCTGTAACAAGTGAAGAAAACAGCCCACAAAGGGGGAGTGACTGGCTCAGGGTCTCACAGATAGCAAGCGGCAGAGCCAGACTCCAACTGCTGCAAAACACCACTTTCTTAAACTCAGTCACACTGCGGGGACAGATTGAGACCGGCTCAGAGAATGAAGAGCGAGGGATGAAGGGCAGGCTGGCACACCGACAGACAGCCATGAGCACCTGGTGTCCACACAGCGTTACAGGTGTCCCCAACCCTGATCCAAAGGCCCCCTCCACTCATCCTGGTCGAGGCAGGAGGGAGTTAAGACGTCTCAGCCCTGCCTTCTGGGGCTCAGGCCTGAGCTCTCTCTGCTGCCGGTGTGACCCAGCCTTGGGCTCCAGGTCAAACAAGCGGACTTCTGCCGGGTTCTCAGACCTGTCCCCACTGCTGAGCCCACAGAATCTGGAGTCTGCCCACTTCCGGGGGCTGAGCCCGTCATGGAGACCCGGCCTTGCACCTGGTCTGAGGACTGGAGCCCACCATTACCCCCTTACCCTGGCCAGACCCTACCCTAGGACCAAGGTCTTGGGACATACTATCTGCTGACAGGTTTCTCTGCGTCTGCTGGCCTGGCCTGGGTCACTGGAATGCTTCCCACCCCTTTATCAGGACAGCCGATGGCAGCCAGCTGCCTACATGGTGGTCTTAAAGCTTGGGTCCCTCATTCTCCTGCTGGGCTGGGTTCCTCCCAACCCCCTCAGCCAGCCTGTTCCTCCAGAGGGTGGGGGAAGTTGGCAGTTCCCCTAGCTGCTCCCAGGGGCCCCGGTCCCTGAACTTGAGACCAAACTAAGAAAATGTTAGTTTGTTTTGAGCCACGAGGGTCCTTAAATTAGGAAGTTCAGTCCCTCCCGATGTTTTAGAGGTGGGAGCTAGCCCAGGGAGGGGTCTGTCCAGTGTCACACAGCCATCTGCAGCAGACCTGAGCTTTCCTGGCAGAGGCGGGGAGGAGGGACGGGGAGGAGGACCCCATCCCTGGAACTGTCTAGGATCCCTCGGGAAACCCCTGGTAAGGCCCGTGTATAGGTGCTCCTTCAGTGGGGAAACCTCAGGGTCGGGGAGTGGGCGTTGGTCGTTACTCCCATCTGTCACAGTGTTTAGTTATTCTCAGTGATTAGCTGTGTGGTGCAAAGAAGCCAAGGTAGAGGCCACATGCACGTCCTGGCTGGTTACCTCCAGGATGCGGGTGGGGGCACAGGTGGGGACCCAGCTCCTGCTTCTCCACCCGTGTAGGGAGTTAGTCTCACTGCTGCTGGGCCTGAGAGCCCCACAGAATCCGCCCGCCTCTCCACCCCATGTGGCTGCCTCAGCACCTCCCTGCTGGTGCCATGTCCTGGTCTACCTCGGGACCCTCTGCCTCCACTCTTCCCCCTTCTCCGTCCGCCTTCCACAGACACTGCAGCCTACGTGATCCCTGGAAACAGGGGCCTGGCCCTTACGGGTTAGGTCTGAGCTCCACTGAATGAGAGTCCAGACCACCTGGCAGCTGCTTCCCTTGGCCGCTCCCTGCAGTAGGTCTTCTGCCCTTGCTCCCTGAGCCCAGTCATGTGCCTGCTTCCCAGTTGTCTGTGTGGGCTGCTCAATCCAGCCGGGCACTTCCTTCACCTGCCAATCATCAAGGATCAGCTCCAGCCTCCTCCTCCAGGAAGCCTTCCCCACGACTTCATGGTCCTCCTGCCTAATACCCACGGGTCTCTCTTACAACTTTTTAACAAATATTACAGTAATTTGAAGGCAGTCTTCCCTTCCCAATGAGATCCTGAGCTTCCTGGGGGCAGAGACCACATCTCTTAATCATCACTCCATGTTTAAGGCCTGGCTCACTTCAGATACTTAGTATATTTTCCTGACCTAAGTTGGGAAGGTTAGAGGGAATTTCTGATTACCAGCTCTGGGGGAACAAAGCACAGGTGAAGAAGGAATGGGGCCGAACTGGCTCAGGTGAAAATAAAAACTTAAGACGTGAGCTATAGAAATATAAGGTTTAGAAGGCATCCCCCCAATTCATGCTTGTTCAGAGAGGAGGCTGACCAAGGGGGATTTCGCAGGAACCCGCTGCTGACCGGAGGCTTGGGCTAACCTAAGAGACGGGGCTGTTGACCCCGCCGATGTCACACGACACTGTTTTAGCCCTGGTCTCTGGCAGAGGACAACCCTTGGCCCCACGCGCAGCTGTGTGTTGACTGTGGAGTCATCTCCTGCGGTCATGCAGTGCCCCCCTTTGTGTGGTAAATGTACTGCGGGCACATCTGAAGATCACGTTTAACAGCCTTGTTCCCACAGGTGCTAATGGAGCAGGCCTTCGGAGTGAGAGGCCAGAGGGGGAAGATGCCCCGGCTGTGAGCTGTTCCTCCTCGGCAAATCCACCTGTTCCTCTCTATGAAACGGGATTACGAATACTAACACGAATAGTGGCACCCCACAAAGCTGCTGTGAGCAGGAAATGAACTGAATGAAGAAAGCACTGGGTAAACCGTAAAGCCCGGAAAAATATTAGTTTTTAATTACTATTTCAGGCAAACTCTTTGGTCGGGCTCTCGCTGAGCCCAGCCCCTCGCTCTCACGACGCTGCCTGCGCACTCGCACTTGAAAGGCGCTCTGCCCCTGCTAGGTTCGCTACAGCAGCTAGCACGGTGCCTTCCTCCTTCGCAGGCTTTCTTCTCCGTGCCTCCTGTCCTGGCCCTCCCCCCAGCTGCTTCCACCAGGGGAGGAGCGACTGGCAGTGGCTCGGAGTGGGGGTGGGGCACCTGCCCAAGGCCATGAGCCTGTGAGTCTGGGAGCTGCCCTTACGAGAGGCAGGGGTCTGGCCCACCTACTGGGGGCTCCAACTAAGATAACTCTCACCCTTCTGTCACTCGCCTCGATTTTCCTAAAGAAAGAGCCTATTTGCACTATAGGTCCGCGAAAAAGAGGAAGGGAAACTGAAGGTGGACCATCAAGCAAACATCGGGGAGCACAGTGTCTGTGAATTAGTGGTGTTTTGTGTGTCCAGCCCACGGCATCAGGGTCACACCCTGCCAGCAAG